TCAACTGCAATCAGTTAATTTAACAGAAAATCCTGCCCATAAGCAGACGTTAATCAGTCTGTAAATTTTGAAAAAGTAAGCTCAGAGCAGTGGTATAGCTTAGATGGTTATGGAGAAGGTGATTCCTCCTCCTGGGCGAAACATTTCATGAAAATAAAGTTCCCCAATATCTACGCTGCAAGACAGAAAATTTGCATAGCAAAATCTTTAGCACTTTTGTCGAGTTGTTAAAAACACAGAAACACAAATGTGTGTAAAAACTGCGCTTTTTATTTTTAAGATACCAAAAACTTTGCATGCGTATAGATACTTGCATATGTATCTCATTCAATTGCTACCGACTGCAGAAGCACTTGGTGTACCAGCAGAATAAGAAATAATATTGTTACTAACTGGTGGGTATCAGGTTGATACCCACCAGTGGCTGAATGATTAAGACCGGTAAACATCTGGGTTTGATCTCAGGCAAACGGGCTGAGTCTTGGTTGGTTTTGGAGGTTTTCTCCACGTGTAAACCGAATACGGTCAGTTTCCCGCTTTAGGGAGATACTATTTCTTACTTGTTTTACCGTATTCAAATAATTTAACAACAGATTGATTTTGAGCTTTATGTGCACTGTATCTACAATAAAATTAAATCGGATTTTTATGCAGTTCGCAGTATACACAGACATCACAAGCTTCCCCAAAAATAAGACTTCAGAAGTTTAGAACTAGATTTTTTGCATTAAAGAAAAACATTGAGCAGCCATCTGCTTAAGGAAAAAATACCCGTCATGGAGGATTTTCAAAGGTAAATAGGCGGATCTGTATTGCACGGGAAAAGGTCTACAGATTGACTGGTTTATCGATTACAGCAAAAGACGAAATAGGTGTGCTGTTAACTTATCAGTTGCGAAAGGCTGTCTTGATAGATGACATTCAAAACTGTCATATTTATGTCATTGCTGTAAACCTGAAGCAGTTACCCAGTTAACTGAAATTAAGTAGATTCACCATTATTAAGCTACACAGCAACTGGCGCGCATGTCTTTCTAAATGTAACTGTCTTGCCTCATACATTTGAGTTAGACCATGAGAACGCAAGAACTAGCATACGTTAAGTTGTTTAGTTTGTTAAGTTGTTTAAGTTGTTTATGTTAAGTTGTTGTTAGCATATGTTAAGTTGTTGTAGGTGTTCGCCAAATTATAGGTGTTAAGAAGCATAGTTTGGAAGTGAAACCGATTAGAACTGAGTGACTGTCTCATCATAATTTCACATTCCATTAGTAATAACTAGGTACACAGCATCTCTTAACTCAGAGTAATATAGAGTCTCACATCTAGCAAGTCGGTCGATCAAACAATGTTCGAAATTCATAACTGCTTTGCATTCATTTAACACTACGACAAAATACTAAACTTTATGTAGAAAATGAAATCTTAATTTAAGTCGTTTGTTTTACCGACGGTTTTTTTCCCCCTGTTTCTTGGAAAGAATTGAATAAACATCTATGCAATGCTTTAAAGAGTAACAGTTTTATTAAATCAAAACTATTTTTTTATAAAATTTTACAAAGTGATTAATTTACATGCTTAGTATTTCTTACGAGCCTGATATTTTGTAAAGCGGAACCCAACAGAATTGACAATATATCTAGTTTCGTTTCGTTTTTCTCAGACTGCAGATTTTGCAAGGTTTTGAGGACATTTGTTCTTTCCTTTCCCAACAATGTGCTTAAGGATTTGCTGTTTCATGTTTCCCAACAATCTACCTAGTGGATCATTTTTTGGAGTTCTAGTTGGTTCAACTGACATCAACTAAGGGTAACAGAACTTAAAGCCAATGCGCATAAAAATGAAAACCTAACAGAATATGTAATAAAAGCTCAAGCAGAAACGAAATCAGAATGGAACCACGTAAAGTTACGTTGCTCGTTCGTTAAAGTGTAAAGCACGCAACAGTACGATATGCCTGTTAAAAGAAACTTTTCTAGAGAATTTTTTATATCGAGGAATTTATCAGAATTTTTGTCATTATTTCCAACAAAAAATACACCTTGATCCTTTATGTCTCAGATTACTTTATTTTTTGAAAGAGTTTGTAACATTTTTATTACATTTCTTTATACATGACAAACATCTCACATTAAACTTACAAAAATGTGACAAGTTTTTCATTGTTTTTTATAAATTTAAAATTGGGCTTTGAAAGTCCTGTTGGCACATAATTGAGCGATTTTATTGATTAAAATCCCGTAGGGAAATAAAGGGCTAAATAACATTTGTCTCTAAAATGATCTTCCAGCGTCTTATTATTTGGCATAATTAACTTTGTTCTTCTATTTTTCCAGTTTATTGTTTCCAAACCCACTATATGCTTTGCTTTCTTGAAATACTGTATATCCGATACATAATTTAATATGGTTTACAAAGGAAATATTCGAGCATGTATGGGGAAAAGTTAACGAAATATTTTTTAAAGATCTTTTACGAAATACAAGAATCGAAAATCAAGAGTCACCGTAAGCGGAAGTAAAATTTCTTTCAAGAAACTGAACTCAGTTCAAAACAGTTCTTTTCTTATAGTGAAAGCTTCCAATTTCTCAAAGTCATGTGAAAAATGGAAAATCATAGTCTTGTTAGGTTGGCCAACATTTGAAAGGTCTCTTTAAACGCTTCAACCAATTTTCCGTAAGAGTGCCTTACAAAGTAATATTCAATCATAAAAACTCGATTTGCTTGGGAAACTTATCTCCACCTTGCATGAAATAAATAGCTTTCAAAGCTAAGAGCATAAAGTGAAATTTCAATGATATGCTGTTTGCAACTGCATAGGGATGCCATCCATTGAAACAACTGGCGGTTAATACTCACTCTGAGATTTCCGTAATTTTTTAAAGTTTGATTCGAGCAGCTTTTGGATAACACTATAGTAACCAGTTCGTACTGTTAATCATGCTATAAAAATTATTTACATTAGATGCCTACTAGCTGCTGAGCTCCAAGACAGCCGAAATATGGTTGCACATCCCGCGTTCAAGCTTGATGAAAGGGCTAGCTGTAAGGGAATTTTAAGGGTTTTCTATATGCGTGACGTGAATATGAGTTAGTTTTCCTTAAAAGGTCTACGTACACATCCTTCCCTTTCGGCCAAGAGTGCACAAATGCTTTGCTATAGTATGAATAATTGAATATAGTCGCCAGGACTTGTATAATTATGCCAACATTTTAACTTTATGGATGAGGAATTAGTTTGGTTTATTTGAGTATGGCAAATCATTCGTGAGCTATCTGCCTAAAAGGAGGAATGTCTTCGTGAAAGACTTTCTTAGAAAAACTGGATCATATACTCATTAAACATGGGGAACCTCCGAAAACGTCCGTGCAGCCAGCCCGTTTGGAAGATTTAACCTCGAACCATACTACCAGCGTTCAGAGACCTTACCCTTCGGCCTCTGTCGGTCCCTTATCGACGATTAAACAGAAGAAAACCCATATTGTTCGCGCTGCATGTTGGTATCTAGAGCAAAGAAAGTTTGCTTTTTTGAAATTTAATCTAAATTTGCTTTCATGAGAGATTAAGTTTTTATATGATTAGCTAGAAAATGGTGGCAATTGCATTAGCTATTTAACACAGGCTGTCGAAAATGATGCATACTAAGAAAACAAAATAACATTTCTGCATAAATTAAATATGAAAAGAATATTTTCAAAGAAATCCATTATTTTTATTAATTTTAAGACTCTCTTAATTGTTGGCTTTTGAAAATGATCGTATCCTTGTGTTTGTTGGTTCTGAAAGAATCTGAAAAGCTTTTCGTGAAAATGTTTTCTAAGTAATGTCATTTTTGAAAAGTAACTAGAAATTTGCTACACTTATTGACAGTATAATCGCATGCAAATATATTTCCTCTATCATGGAAGTGTAGCAACACAAGCTTCCTCAAACTTTTAAAACACGAATTCCGCAGTTAGAAGTACCAAAAGATTAGATTTACGAAAACTTAAGAAACAAAAATACACAAGTCTGATACAGTCCGCTGGACTTGCTGTTGCCTATTGAAAATTACCTTCATTTGCTAACTGTTTCACACCTTCATTAACCAGACTACTTGCGTTCTTTAGCTTTAGGAAAGATTTTTAAAGAAACCGTTTTGGTACTCTGTGTTAAATAATTAAATCGATTAATTTTCAGAATTTTTGGATGGTGAACGTCGAATTCCTTTTGTACTTTTCGTTCATTTTACGCATGCCATGATATTATATTCCACATTCAAAAACTGCCTTGTTGCATTTACTGTAAAACATTGAATGCACCCCATACCTTAATGTTAAAGCCATTAAGCCCGCAATATATACTAAAACTACACAAACTCAGTTTTCCTGTTTATAATAGGTGTATGAAACTTTATGCGAATGTGAGCAGAAGTATGTTCTTACTGAAAACTCCTGGAGAGCGGTGATTTTGGTATTTGTAAAGTGAATAGAATATGAGTCAGTTTCTCCTAAAACGTCCTCTATGAAAGACTCCTTCCTGAACTCCTCCTCCCGAGTCCTCGAGTTACTTTCCTTGATCAGCTAACCTTTAAAATTTACTCACAAACATTTATAAGAAAGTTTTTTTACATTCCCTGCTCCTGTTCTTATAAATGATTATAAAGTATTAAACCTTTTTTTAATGTACGAATCCCAAAACTGGTCAAATGAATAAGATAAATTGGTAGTTTTACCTCGGTTTGTACCCCGGCTGGCGGATTAGCTTCACGTACGTTTTCGTTACATAGGCACAAACAAATTTCCTTTAGAAAGTCCACCAACAAGGTATTCATTTAGGCAGCTAGTTGTTTACAATACTCAAACACAAATATAGCTCTCGTGTTGTTTACAATACTCAAACACAAATATAGCTCTCGTGTTGTTTACAATACTCAAACACAAATATTGTGAAATTCTTGCAGTTTCATTGTAAAAACGAATATTGTGCATGCGTAGATTTTTACCGCATACAATAAAGACGCTTCAATCCAAAAAAAGTTTATTTCAAAAAAGAAATTAAAACAAATGCATTCCCAAAGGATTTGTGTCGATAAACACTAAAATGTTTTACATGAAAAATTAGTTTTACACAAGTATTTCTTTGAAATAGTGAAGATGAATAATATTTTTTAGAGTCAATCGAAATGATCTTCAGGATCAAAACGGATCAACGGAATATTCTCTCTATAATAATACTTCCCCTTTCTCCGTTGGATAGACGTTAATACAAAAGCACATAGAACAATTACAAAAATGATAAGTACGATATTTATAGCAGCAAATATTTTTACGGGAAAAGAGTCAGAGGAACAGTTGGTCTTGGAGGAAGAGTTGGTTATTGAAATAAGCGGTGTTTTCTTAATTTTGTAAAATATCGATTTAAGGGATTTTAGTGAGGGCGAGAGTCTTGCAGTTAAGTTGCATGAGAAAATTTCAAACTTTCCAGATGAATCATAATACTGATCATCTCTCTTTTTTATTCGCGGAGATGTAAGTGATAAAGGAAACGAAGGTTCTTGCGCGGTTGGAATTATAACCATGTCAGTTAAGCCGAAGGAATCCGTGTCCGAAACGTTGATTTGAGATTCATCCAGTGACCTTATATTTTTATCACTATATTTTGAAATATCCTTATTTTCTTCGGTAGCGTTGTTGCAGATATTTGGGCAAATACCGTTACATACAAGTACACCGCAAGTTAGGTTCCTTCTTAGTTTTAGTGGTAAAACGAAAGGCTTTATTGCTGAGACAACCACGAAGTGACTCTTCCTAGAATGGGGAAGATTCCTGAAATAGAAAATATCATCAGAATGAGGGCAGTTATTTGCATCAGACAATCTATACGTAGCGTCTTCATTATGGATAAAGCAATTCTTGACCATCATATCTTTATCTTCCTCTTTGTCATCAAAGTAAACCATCAATGCTAAATCATCATTAGAATTTTGTGGTAACAGGTCAACGTCTAGCTCCATCGATAATATGAGAGTGAATCGTAACGTAATATTCTTGTTTCTACCCTGCTTTGGTGCAGACAAATAACTTTCAGTTAGATTACTGAGTTGACAAAGAATTCTCCTTTCCAGAACGTAAGAAGAGTTGACGTCATCAACTACGATAGTGTTAGCTATATTGTAAGTCCCAGACTCTCCAAATATTTGTGAACCGCACTCTGATATGGGCAAGTCTAGCGACACTGTCCTTACTGGCGATTTTTCGAAAATTCGTACACTGGAAAAGAAAACATAAGTGTTAGATTTACAAAATATCACATTTGTTCACAACAAAATTAAGCTGACGTAATTTTTGTTTATACAAAACTGCATGACTGGAACTCAACGCCGACTGCCTTCAGCGCAACCACACGACTGGCATATACAAAACTGCATGACTTCAGGCAATACTAGAACCACGAAAATTTGATATGCTTATAACCAAAGTAGCTAATCATTTTGACCATCATATGAAAAAATATTCAAAATATGAAAATGCTTAATGTCGAAATCCTTCATTAAGGAAAAAAAATAAAATATGTTTAATGCAATTTAATTATTTGAACAGAAAACTGAAAAGTATTAAATATTTTTATATGCATGTTCATACGTTTTCCATCCTACACATGTAAGAGCAAACCCGCAATGACGGATTAATAAACGTCAAGGTAATTTAATATTTTATCAAAATTTAAACTAAGGTTGTACAGCAATTATAAACGATTTATCGGATTTTCAATATAGTAATTTAAAAATATTACGAGTAGAAGAATAAATGATACATGAAAATAAACTGAAATATTTAAAGTTTCGTTCGTAACTCGAAAAAATGTTCAATGTGGCTTGCACTGGTCATGCTTCTACACGGTATTAGAGTTCCATCTACATTTACGCTACTAATAGCCACAATTGCACTTTTAATACGATACTTGAGCTCAACCAAAATTTCTGGCAGTGTGGGGTATGTAAACTAAGTTTAATATATCTTCCAAAAATAAAATAAACCGAGATCTGGAAACAACGTATACAGCATTAAATCATCGCTGGCGTATCGCCTAAGTCGCTGGCGTATTGCCTAAAAATTTTCTCTTTGAGATAATCCCACGAATTTTAAAATGAGAAGTAAGCGTGGATATTTAACATTTCGTGCATGATTATTCCATGTGTAATATATTTTTTGAAACTGTGTTTAGAAACCAATAAATCATTTCTAATCACACTATATATTACTCGGAACTTATGTATTAGCGCGCAACCATCTTGGCGCAGTGTGGCTATTTTTAAAAGAAAAAGGTGAAAGAAGAGGCCTAATGCTGCCTAAATGTTACTTTCAAACTGATGACTATTTACTTCAAATTAAGGTAGGACGGTTTAATCCTAGTATCCGGTGCACACGGATTTGGCTACTTTTGGCGACTTTATGATGAGCAGTAAAAAACGCGACATATACGATGAGTAGTAAACGGGTCATTCAAAGAATATATATAGTTATACATAGTATATACTATGTATATACACACATAGTATATACTATGTATATACACACATAGTATATACTATGTATATACACACATAGTATATAGTGTATATACACCTATATACAGTGTATATATATATAGTATATATATATTAGTTATCTATATGTATAGTATATATATAGACGTTCTTTGGATCATTTTTGGTGTTGGCGATAATTTTCAAAATCGCGCCAAGGCTGCACCGTATACTAGGATATTACCAGGTAGGACTATATTTGTATAGAAAGAAAAACTAATATTAAACCACCCTTTTATTGCACAGAAATATTTTTATTTGTCGCCAGTATTTTGAGCCTACATACGAAAAACAATTGTTTCATACTAACGAATCCTAAATGCAAAAGGTACCAACTATCCTCCTCTTCATCATATTACTTAAAGATAGCTCTATGTTTTCTACTCGAGATAGTTTACTTATACTACACACTTAGTTATTCACGAGTCTTTCGCGTGTAAAGCTAAGCGTCTTTTAATGTGCATAGTATGCATCCTCTTTCCACGTTTCGGTTTCAGAAGCACACATTCCTGGCTTCCTTTCCGAACTTTGCTTTCGAGAGAAGCGGGACGTACTTCTAACTTTTAATACATACCTTTATCTTCATTGCCAAATTTGAATGACTGGTTGAAGCGTTATACAAGAATCATGCGATAAACGTCAATTTCGAAATGACGCGGTTATTTTTAAGGTAAGGGGAGGTTTTTTTATGATAAGGGGAAATAACCAAATTAAAATGAAAAGTTAAAGCACTAATGTAAATTATTGACTTAGGTAATTTGTTTTATCTTGCACACATATACCAGGTTTTATTCTTCATAAGATTATATATATCATGTTCTTTAGGATTAATGCATATATTAATCTTAGTTTTTTTAAAGTTTCTTTTAAACTAAAGTCTATTTTACCAACAGAATTTAAAAAATTGACCTTTTAAAAATCTACGCAATTCGCAAGAATACTACGAAAAGTGTAGTTGGAAGGGCTAGATAAGTTTCTCGAACAAAATTAATGAACTTAAGATTTAATTAAGGAATCAAATTAAAAAACGCAATCTCCCATGGCATTATACTATACTGTGTATGTTAAATCCTCTTACTCTGGCAATCAAAATTTTTTCCTACGGCATTACTTGCATTTATTAGCAGCACACATTTAGCCTGTAATGCACTGGTTAATCTTCGAAGAGAATATGAGCTATTGCCAAGAGAAATTTTACAACATTTAAAGTCATTAAGGGGTGTTGGAACCCCCAAAATCTTCAAAAAATTGTGATTTCGGATTTTTGAATTTTCAAATTCTCTACACTTTTATTTTTCTAAAAATACAATTCTTTAATCTCTATGAAAATTAGAACCGTAAAAAAAATCTAGTTTTAATTTGTCATCTACTGCTGTGATCAATGAGGATTTTTACATAAAAACGCGTTTTTCTCCAAACGTGATTTTTTTATACTCCATGCATCTTTTCTCAGGAACTACTGCTCACAGGTATCTAAACTTTTTATGGCTTATTTATTAGGTTCCCTAATATTTACTGAAATGAGCTTTTTGTAATAAAAACATTTTTAAAATTTTTTTTTTTGTGAGAAAAGTGTTAAATTTTACTATGTCTAACAAAATATTCTGTAATTTACTCTAAAATTCAAAATGTTTCAAAAGCTCATTTCAGTATAATCAGATAGGTATACTTTAATTGCAGAAAAAATTTCAAGCTTGTATCTACAGCAGATTTTGAGAAAAGGTACACTGAAAATGGCCAATTTAACACTGTCCGTATAGGGGTTTCTGATACCCCTTTTTTAGAATCCAGTATTACTCAAAGAGCTTAATTTCTTAGTCATGTCAGCAGGTTAAGTACCTTCATTAGCGTCACATTGCGATATACTTTGATAAGTGTTAAAGAAGACCGAAAATATGCGTCAATTTAAACATTAGCAAAATGTTCAGTGATATTTCTATGAATAACATACCTGCACATTTTACTCGAATGGTAATCTTTTGCATATAACATACCGGTGAAATCACTTTTAAAACTGAACAGTAGGTGTACACCAGAAATATCACATGCCATTTTAATACTTGGAGTGTTAGGCTTGCCAAATGAAGAAAGAGGCAGCAACTGAAAATAAATTTTATAATTTAAATTTTACAGTTCGAAGTAAATTTTTAACTATAAGGGAATTAGCATTCAATACGCCTCTAGATTCTGGGTCGGTTAGGTTAGGTTAGGTTAGGTTAGGTTAGGTTATTTAATTACGGCAAAGCCTCGAGGGCTATCTGCCTAATGGGAGGGATGCCTTCGTGGAGGACTTTCCAAGGGAAACTGGTTCGTATACACGTTACACATGGGGAAAACCACGAAAACACCCATGCAGCCAGCCCGTTCGCGTGATTCGAACCTCGGACCAAACTACCAGTGTTCAGCGACTTTACCGCTCGGCCGCTGGTGGGCCCTAAATTCTGGGTCGAATTTCGTCGTTTATTCGGATTAAGAAATATTCTGAATATGCAACTATTGTGTTTGAAATTGCTACATTGATATCGATTCAAATTTATAGAGAAAAGACAACCAAGATGAAAATCAGAATTGAGAAATATACGCAATGCATTTTAAGTACAGAAGTTATAACTTCCAAATATTAGTTGTTTAAAAACATTAATGGAGAAAAATTGAACTGGTGGGACCCCAGTTCAACAAGAAGGGAAATAACGTGGTTCTTATCAAGGCAAGACCCCCCCAAGACGTACTTTTATCCAAGGAACTTAGCTACATCAGATTAGTGGGTTTGTGGAGAAAGAGGAAGCCCCGAGCACTATTCAAATGCTCCCTCACAGCTGAACATCATTTAAAAGTTCGGAATTCAGAAACTGAAATGACTCTTTTTATAAGATATGCTATCAAGAACAAACATCTTGGGGAAAAAATCATAAATATAATGAACTTCTTGTCCACAAGAGGTTCGGAGTTATGCAACACAACACATAGTAATAGCATAACAAAGACGTTGCCTCAAACAGAATTGGAGCTATCCTCCATAGCATGCAAGTGCGAAAGGCACCAACTGGAAAAACATCAACGTAAAAAAATATTTCTTTCCAGCTCTGACAAACACCTGGTCAAGCGGTATAGAGACGTAATATCCGCTGGAAGTGGAATTGCCCGCGGTGTGGAACACACCAAATACAACCCATTGCAAGCAACGCCTGGTGGGACCCCTTGTGAGCCCTGTGGGATGTAATTATCTGGATAATTAGTGCAACTGGACAACACCCACATTGGCAATTGTTAAGCAATGGGTGTCCACCACACTTCATCATACCCATACTTATCCAATGGAATAAAGATTTAATAAATTAAGGCAAAGCATTCGAGAGCTTACTACTGGAAAGGAAGATGTCTTCGTAGAGGACTTAAGGGAAACAAGCTCATGTTACTCATGTAGAGGAGTGCGAAAACTCCCATGCAGTTATCACCATTCGCCATTACTTGAACCCAGGCCGAATTAAGTGTTCAAAGGTTTTCTGCTTGACAGCTGGTGAGCCCTTTGCCTAGGGAGGAGATGGCTTTGTGAAGGATTTTAGTATTCGCTTTATACAACTATTCAAAAGATTTACTAGGACATAAGAAACTTTCAGTTATTTCTTAAATAAATAGGTATTTCGTAAACTTTTTTCAGAAGATAAATTTATCTTTGGACTAAAGAAACTATACAAGGCATAAGAAAAGAACAATCACAAATTGATACGTTTGAGATTATCTGGATTCCTTTTAAAATCTTGACATTAATCTTCTCTTTTTAAAACTTCATTTTAATTTCTTTCGACAATGTTTTAGTAGATAACTTTATACCTTTTGCCAGGTATCGAATGCAAGTTTAAAATACTGAGTATTCGTCAGCTCCTAATTGTCCTATTTTAGCAAGGAGAAAGATTTTTCAGTGCAGCATCCACTTCTCTATCGCTGCAAAAAGTATGACTTGAATTGGAGTTCACCTACAAACAACGTTCCATAATTTCGAAGCCGATTAATATAGTTCTCGGTGACTAATTTAGCCTTCCCATTTGTTCTCCTGACCAATGGATTACTTCTAAATATTCCACGATAAAGTTTAAATGTTTAAGGTTTTAGAGCAGACAATTTTTGAATTTCATTTACCGTTAAAGTTATTGCCTTAATGTTTTAGGGTTTTGAAGAATACTTCTCACTATTGATTTTTTTTTCGTTCATTGAAACCACCTGGACTACCAGTTCAATGTTATAGAATTACATTGTGGGCAATGAATAAAATCTTTACATTTTCATCATTTCTGTGAAGAACAATAAGGTTTCAATGCCTATCCAAATCTCCCGCTTCTTGCCACTTACGTTTAAAACTGAACACATTTACTTAAGATTTAAAGAGTCATTCCCAAAGTTGTGCAAGAAGAACATTTCATTAAATGTGGATAAATTTTTCTACCAGAACCGGTACTCTTTGCTCGTTAAACGTTCGTCAAGAATGGCATAATTTGTTCCATTTAACCGTCTTACGACAAGGATGACCAGTACACCCCCCCCCAAAGAAAGGGTCCAGTTTAGTCCCAGTTTTAAGGGGAAGCCCACAAGGTATGTGTGAGAGAGTCTCTTTCTCCTTTTATCTTCAAATACCGTTGACTTAAAGTCAACGGTATTTGAAGTGCACCCTCATGCCTCAAAAACACTATATACATGCAGCCTGCTCCGGAATTGAAGCTTGGGCCCAAGGCAGTGGCAGCTAGCTCGAATACCACCGTTCCAATATGGCGGCTAATTGTGTATATTTATAATTAATATTTGACCTTTATTTTTCTCCTTGGGAAATGTGAGCAATATTTCAAAATTAACCATTTGCGGTCTGCTCTCAACCATCATAACAAAGAAAACTATACTGATCTTGTATCATTAAGTTGACAAGCTTCATAATTTTGCATATTATTCATTACTGCTTGTCCAACGAAAAATAATTCCGACCAGCATGATACCTATGTATGAATTTAATACGACCTCAAAGGGTTCATATTTAGCGAAATTAAGCTCAGATATAAATTTGTATAATGAACTAAACCACAAATATAAAAGATGTTTATTTTTCAGTAAATGAAATTAGCTGGTGAACGAACATATTTTCGAGTTCTGAGTAATGCCATGCAGCCATTCCGACCGCTGGTAGATTAGGTTATTTAAATATCCCAAAACAATCGGAAGCTATCTGCCTAAAAAAAGCATGCCTTCCTGAAGGGCTTTCAAAAAAAGAAAATTAGTTCATATTCACCTAACAAATGAGGAAACAACCTCACAGCTCACCTGAGGTTCGAAGTACCAGTAATCGGCGGTCTCAAATACTCAACCATTTCTAATCCCTTGTTCACTAGTAATCAAACATGTACGAGCTATAAATTTTCCTCTGTTTAATCCTCTAGACACTGGTAAGAGGTTAGGAAGTTTTAGAAAGGACATTGAAAAATGTACCAAAATCTTGAAAGCCAGAAACTCAGCTAAAGCTGTTCAGGTTTGTAATAATGCTTTCTCAAGATGCTTTAACTCCGCAGCTTGCATTAAAACTGTTCAACTCATAAATACGAAATATGTAATAAAGGACAACTTTATTTCCAATTTAGAAGTATTCTTGATTTGAACTAAACACCAGTTTATAAAAATTTAATTTAGGCTATATGTTTTAAGTAGCAAAGCAAGTCCAAAAGGTAACTATATATAATAAAATATCTAAAGCGTAGAATATTGTGGTAACGTAATTATCTCGTGAAGTAAATTAGCCTGTTCGATTTCCTTTAAACAAAGACTAGAAAACTTCCGATTTTTTTAAATTTAATTATTTCCTCCTCCTCACTTTCTTCTCTCAATATTCATAAAGATACTGGTCGTTTTTATTCGTAGCTCGAGTAACATAAACCGAAATTTATCAAACAAGTTAAATATTTGTACAAATTTTAGTTTCGCTAACTCGAGCTTATAGTACTTCAGATGATTTGTAATATTTACACTAATTACTTTTATAACCTGAGAATATTTTCCATCTCAGTACAGCACCTGCTAAACAATGTTATTAGGAAAGGCATTGTACCAACTTGATATTTCCAGCAAAAAGACTTAATATTGACATTACCTTGGAAAACACTCAAGTGACTTTAGATTGGAACTTCAGACATTGTTGCATTCTGACCGCTAATAATATCTGTTACATTAAAATTGCGAAATCTGGAATAGACAAAACTTTCTTTTAAAGCTAAATTAAATGAATGTATAATAATAGAAGAAAGTCTTGACAAAGTTTGCTGTATCACAGGGAAATAGGTAAATGGAAGATTACTATGCGTCATGTTTCACGCATTGAACTAGGAAAACAAGTAACTTCATATTTTCACGAATATTTTCTGCAGCTTAAGAAGGTTCTATAGTCAAATCTTCGAAAACAGTACTGTATATCCATAAAAGTTACCAGATGCCTCTCCTCTTAATCCTTTTATAATTATTTGGCGTGTTATTTAGATTTCAGTAACTGTATATTTGAAACGGCTAAAGTGCAGAATCGCCCACTTATTTGTTTGGCGCTTTTTTCAAGAGTAAGAAGAATTGGATTTTTGTCAATTTTCTTAAGACTTTTTAAGTGAAAATAGGTCGATGTGTACATGGATAAAGTCAAGGGAGTACACAATGCCATTTTCGTGCAATTATGGTGATTATTTTTAAGTGAAAATAGGTCGATGTGTACATGGTTACCGAGCATGTGCAATTCTTAAAAACGCGCCAAGCAGTGGGCGATTCTGCACTTTCCCCTTAGAAACACATCGAAGTTCTTTTGCAGATTAAAATACAGAATTTTTCATCGAGATAGCGCAGCAGTGTTTCACAAAATCACAATTATATGATTTCTTGTTTTAAGATTCCGTTACTCGTCTTGCTATTTGTTTGCTCAAGATCAGTTATTTGTCCCGTTTTTTGTTGATGTAACAAACTATGAATATTTGGAATCTAACATGAATTTCCCTGATTAAAGAATAAAACCACTAAGTTATCAAACCTTCTTGATGTCCTGTGCAGAACTGTTAAATTGCTTTATTCTGAAATTCTATTACACAGAAAGAGTCTTCTGAGGTTTACTGTGGAAGTTTTTCTCGTCGTGAACCTTAATGCACTTAACCATGAGTACGTCCGCAAATAAGAGTTATTTCAGTAGCAGATCGGAAAATTTAGGCAAATGCGAATTACTTGGAAGTTGCTACACGAAACGCATTAACTCGCCGAATTCTTTTCTGAGCCATTTAGTCGGCGAATGACAGCATAATTCAACAAACCGAAAAAGTGCTTGGAAATAATTTATGTGAGTTCCAGAGTAAACTTGATATAGACGTGACAGCTGTGAGCATTATTAATAAAAGTTTATTTTAACATTTGCCCAAAATTTTTTTTCAAAGCAACTTTTCATACTTATTTATCGTTATTAGCAGAGTTTCTTCAAAAAAATTAAGTCTCCACATAATCGAGATACCTGTTTTAAAAACCTATAAAAATAAGAATTTGAGAGAAAATACCAAACATTCTGGTAAATAAAGTTCAGAGACAGATTCCGTTAAGATGTTAGGGATCACATGACGAGCTGGCAGATGATGGTCAGGAAAGTAAGGTAAAGGTAAAAAGACATTGCTTACTGCATATGAACCAATCTGATGGAAAGCGATGAAAGACAAAAGTAATAACGTTCTAAGAACTTGTTTCGATTTTAAGTAACGAACTAATTCCAATCAAATTGCAGTTTAAATTAAAATTTACAGCTTAGTTTTTCTAATCAATGCATCAATTAAAATGCATATATTTAAACACATAATATGAGACTATAATCTATATAGAAAAACATTTTTACATACGAAGAAAAGAATGAAAACTGTCAAATTCAAAGCAGAGTTGGCGATTCTGTTGTACCTATTGGGGAAAAAAATCATCTTAATAACTACATATAATACCCTTAATAAGCCATTTAAAATTAAACGTATTATAAATACGTAGAAGAAAAAGATGGGTATGCAAGTATAAACATACATTGTAAAACGTCGAAATCCTCTGTTGACCGCGTCAAGTTAAAGAAACGAAAAGCAATGCAAAGTGCACTTTTTCAACAATTTATTTATAAATTGAAGGCACGCAGTAAATATCCTGGATCAGCAATTTTACATTTATAGGTCAATACAAAATAGAGAAGGAAAAACTTAACAACTTTTGAGATTAAAAAAATAAATTTTATTTCGCAAATTTCATTTTTTGATTTTTCTTGAGTTTTCAGTAATTTTTATTTAACGCAGGGAAATTAATTTGTATACTCGATTGAGCCACTGATGCCAAAAGTTTAATCAACTATTACATTAACTTTGCTCTTAGGTTAGACTTTAAAGTTAGTCTTACGGATATATTTTACGCAGATCAAATTTATGGTCATATTTTCAAATCCAAACCCATGTAAATTATAGGTAAAGTAATAATCCTAAATTTTTATGAATCAGAATATTGTTTGTTCCAGGCATTTCTTATATATAAAGTGTAACATAATTCTGAATGATGCTAGCAGCTTATATTTCTCAGATATATATATAGTAAATTTAAGATCATTTTTCTGTATACTATGCCTGTATGTGTATAAATTTACAGATTCTAATTGTGTATTCACTTTATAGTAATCTTGCGAAATGTTTGCAATGTGATTGATTTTGTAAAATCAAATACAGTTTTGATTAAAATGGACTAACCGAATTAGGCAAAGCTTACTGTGAGCGTATGAGCGAAGATTCGTTCTCAAAGGACTTAAAGAAAACTAAACTGTCTTGGATTTTCTCATGTTTTCCAAGAAATCCAGATTCAGGCAGCCCTTTCAAGTTTCATGAATGGATAATGAATTAGCAGTTTTTCGTGATTATAATCACTCGACCACTGTTTGGGCCTTTACACATTTGAACTCAAAACAAAAGAATATTGTATGTTGCCTTTGAAACTCGAAGAGTTGCTATTCTTTTCATCTAAACTAAAGCATAGACGTCCTTTCCATCGCATGTTTGCTCTTCCATCCATTAAAAACTAAAATTGGCGCCGTTTACAATTTTGTTAATCATGAATCTCATTTATGTCACTCTAGTATGATTAATATTTAAACGGGAGTTACTGTGTCTGATAGCTGCACTTCTACCATTACCGATATCACATACAATACCACTTTCCACACTTTAAACTCTGAGAATCTCTTTTTCTTTCATTCTTAATTATCCGCCTTCTTTCTAAATCTTTTAAGTAGTGTAGTTTTCTGTTTTAAACAAGTCAATAGGGTAAAATTCTGAGCTGTAAAAAAAAGGAAACTATGAAAGTCTTTTTGCACACAAAGACCGAAACCTTAGCTTTTTGAATTCTAGTATAAATGAAAGACGTTCGGGATAAGAGAAATGAAGTCTTCAACAGTGTTTAATTGTTGCAATAAAAAACTAATTTAGATATCTGAGGGTGAAAGTTATTTCCAGCACTAATATACTCCTCAGTCTGGATTTCTTATAAGTGTCAGTTTTCTTGCATAAGAACTTCGCGAGTAAATAATGTAGCATATATTTTCTCCCCATTGGATACTTTGAAAAGCTTGTTCCCAGCGCTACCACATTTGTTTCAACGAAGGACTTCGCATGTACACTCAGAATTTACTATAAATAATGTTTTGATAAACTTGGACTTGATGTCAGCGAAGCTGGAATAAGCAATAATTTATGTTAAAGTTCACATTCAGTTTCTTCAGTTTTCTGTTATTAAACCGCATGAAGTTATTTCGCTCATTAGAACCTTATTTCTGCTTCGACATGCAACTTTTTATTTCTTTTCTGGGAGCTCTCGGATAGAGTTTTTTGGGTTAAGAATGTTTCGTGCATCATTAGTGTGTCTACGTTCACTACGTTAAATACGTGCTGAAATACTTTTCAGTGATGAAGTTCTTCAGTTAACTAAGAACCAGCATTAAGATACAATAACACGCCGAACAAATATTAATTTAGAAGTCAAACAACAAATTTTATTCGAGTCAAACTTTATTTGAAGAACCAGCATGTTTGAAATGAAAATTCTTCATAAAATTTTAAAACGCTTTTATATCATATAAGTGTATGAATACGTTAAACATTTAGGAATGTTCATTCAGTTACAAATTAACTCAGGAGTTTAGTTTGGTTGATTTGAATATGGCAAAGCACTCGAGGGCTATTTGCCTATTAGGAGAGATGCCTTCATGGAGGACTTTCTGGGCTAACCATGAAAGCTTCCATGCAGCCGGCCCGTCCGCCAGGAACAGAACCCAGGTCAGGCTAATAATATAAAATTAGTAACACAGTTTGGCGTAGATTTAAGTCAAGATCTCAATCGATTTCGAGGGCAGGCAGGAACAGGTCATTCTTCATCAGGAGCAAAGAAAGCTGCAAAACTGGAAAGCAGTAGGCGTAACGGTTATATTTATACTCCACAGTATCCACGCAGAGTCTGCGTGGCAACTCTGTTTCATGTGATTGCTGGATTCTCTCCTTTTCAAACGTGGGACGTTTCTTTTTTTTTTTTTTTTTTTTTGTTATTCTATACTGTGGAGTATAAATATGACTGTTACGCCCACCTCCTAATTTCTGGTGAAGGTTACCCTGTAACCAAAAGCATCCAATTTATCAGTTTATCAGGTACTGAAGTGAAGCTTCCGGTGTTAAGTTACTACCAGAAGATTTAAAACCAGCAAAAATTTGATGATTTTGACAGATTTTTCTGCTGGAAATTTTCCTGGTTTCTTCAGTAAATTTCTGGAATTTATTCCAAGTTTAAGAAGCTGAAATCTCATGAAGAGAAACAACAGTTAGCACTGTGTTTAGTGGAACTTTTTTATGATCTGGAACTTCGATTTTCCTGCTTCTCACCGAAAGACGACTGTTTCTAATCACGCTTGGGCTCGCTAGATGGCGCCACATCCTGGCAGAGTGCAACTTTGTTACGTTTACTGCTTTTCTTCCCGGCTTACCGCCATTTTTATTTTTCACTTTTTGATTCTATTTTTGTATTTTATGCATGATTGTTCTATTTTCAGCCCTATCAAAGCACATTTACCTCAACTGAGCTGGAACACAGCTAGCTAGCTACCCGCGGCACATCAACAGAACTGAACTGAAAACTGCTTTCCAGTCTTGTAAATTTTTTTGCTTCTGGTGAAGAAGGACTTGTACATGCTTGTCCTCAAATTCGATTGAGATCGTGACTTAAATCTACGCAAAACTCAAGGTTGTTGTGTGACCAATTTTATGTTTCCCTTGGTGTGTTTGTCTTCTGCTTTCAAGCTGATAGCATTCAGCGACCTTTTACCACTCGACCGCTGGTGGGTCCAGTTAAAAACCAGAGATTATAACTCCTATTATAATTTTTAGATAAACATGCCTAAACTCCTTTGAATTAAATTTCAAATAAGTGTTCTATATTTTCATTTCTGATAGCTTCGTACTTTATTCGGTTATTCCAAGACACGTGATGGCTAATTGCTCTGTAGTAGAGCTTCCCTTAAAAAGATTTTCCACAGAAGATACTTCGTATGTAGATTACGTTGGATGAAAAACATTATAAGTATACGGTATTTACTCAAAATTAAAACCTTCTGTGTTGCTATATTTTTGTTCAGAAGTTTGGTAGGGTTTTATAATTGGGTATTTTAATAAATGAATTTTCAGAATAAGATGAGTTTAATTATCATACTCAGAGGCGTAGCTAGGGTTTTCAGCGCCCGTGGAACTGAAGATTTTGCGCCCCTCTATGTGTGCCACGAATGGAAAACATTTCATTCTAGAATTTCGTACCATCAATTTGGCGCCCCCTGGATACTGCGCCCGGGGACAGATGTCCCCCTTTGCCCCACCCTAGCTACGCCACTGATCATACTATATAAAATAATTACATTGGTTTTAAATACTTAATAACCCATTACTTAATAATAATTAATAAAATTTAAGTACTTAATAACACATTGGTTTTAAATACTTAATAATACACTGGTTTTAAATACTTTACTTAAGTCATGCAGTTAGTTACGGTACATAAATAAGCAACATAACTACCGCTGATTATAACAACCAAGTCTTAGTTGAAAAATTTCAGTTTAGGGCTGCATCCACGATACTGGTTATTGGTATACGCCTGAAAACAAAGCATAATTAATTGTTACCACCTTTTCCTTCTATATCATAGTCAGATCATATATCTATTACTATTTCCTTCTATATCATATATCTAAGGCCTAATTAAATACGATATTTTATATCATTCTTATCAAAAATTAATGAATTTTAATCAGAACCGTGCTCTCATGGAACATTCATTTTATTTCTTAAGTGATACTAAAATAAAATGAAGGTCTTGTATTAGAAAGGGTCTTATTTTCGAATAGATATAACAAGTTTTGTTATTCCATTACTAAATGGCTAACTCGCAATTAAATTACCAATGTTTCCTGACTATAATCACTTAGCTTATTTGTTTTGATGAGCTCTGATGTAGATTATTCGAAATCTGGTGCGAAAGTATTTTGGACGAGGTAGATAATCATTTTCAGAAATAGGCAAGCATTATTTGCCTTTTAAGGAAATTCTTCAAGGAACGAAACACTGGCATATGTTTCACTAATAGTGAAATCTTCGATATTCCTTATTGTTCAGTTATTCACATTATAGGATTTCAAGTTATCTCTAAGACAAAGGGGGAAATGCTAAAATGTTCTTGCATCCATATAACCGCGAGGAATTAAAAATGGGACAGAACTTCTAATTATACCTCAATTTACTTTTAACTTTTTAATTATATCTTATTACCGCTTCGAAATTTTTTTCACTGAAGCAGGATAAAAATTCCATTTTGAGTTTGTTTTTATTTTTATTTAATTTTAT